GTTTTAAAACTTCGAGGGAAAGCCCAAAAGCCAAAAGAGGACAATATCTATAAACGGTGGGTTTGAACCGTTACAAATGGTATAAGAGTCAAGACACCGGACATTGTGCCAACAACGATGCTAGGCCCCGAGTGAAATAGATTGTGAGATTTCACATTAGTCATATCTCTAGCATTCCTTAAAGGTGTGCCCACTAGTAGACGCGTGTTCAAATCTTAACTGAGACCCTTTGTGAGGAGGCACCCCTTCTCCCGAAGTTAAGGGGGCTATTTTGTCGAGTTCCTTAGAGAGAGTTGTCTCGCACCCTTAGGTATTCTCTGCCTACTCACCTATGTCGGTTTCGGGTACAAGTACCCTTTTGTTGAAGGTCGTTCAAGCTTTTCTTAGGAGTATGACATGGGTTACTTCAGCACCGTAGTGCCTAGTACTCAAATATTGGCTCAAGGTATTTTCTCTACCCCTTCTTATCCTGAAAAAACAGGTGCACCTTGCGTCCTTGAACCGATAACCATCTTTCGGCTAGCCGAGCCTCCTCCGTCCCTCGGGACCGAAAAGTAAAGAGAGGACAATATAACCTAGACCAAAAAAAGGCTGAGGAAAATTTATTTATTTATTTTTATTGTTTCTAATACATTTGGGATAAACCAATAAATACTTTTGCATTACTTGCAATCTTCCATCTCCTTTGCGATCTTCCAACTTCACTTCTAAGCCAAATTTCTGAGTTAAAATTGTTCAAAATTCTCTTTATAAAAACACATTTAATCTCAGTTTGATTAACATTCCATTAATTGTTCATTAAAATAATTTGAATTTGACTGTCGAGAAGCTGCCAGATTCAGCCCCATAAATGTTGAAGAAGCTCAGAAGAAATTTCAAAACATTCAAAACCTTAATCAGCAAGACCTTCAACAACTCTCGATCTTCGTCTTCTTCACCATCCAAACCTTATAAATTCCCTCCATTGCCGCTTCCTCTGTCACCATCGGAAATGTCGTCGCCGTCGCAATCATTCCGGCAATCATTACCACCCGCCGTCGCCCCCTTTCCTCAAACCCAATCCACCGTTCTTCCCGATCCTTCAAATTTCTTCGCTCCTCACCTTCTTTCCTCTCCACTTCCCACAAATTCCTTCTTCCAGAACTTCACCGTTAAAAATGGCGATCAGCCGGAATACATTCATCCCTATCTTATTAAATCCTCCCTCTCCGCCGTTTCAATTTCATACCCATCGATGTTCTCGAACACCGCTTTCGGATATCAGGTCTTCAATGCCGATTGGACCGTCTCTGAAAATCCCGCCTCTGTTTCGCAAAAACCCCATATAATATCATCGTTTAGTGATCTCAGTCTCATTCTTGATACCCCCTCCGGTAATCTCCGATTCTTCCTCGTTCGTGGAAGCCCATTTATCACTTTCGAGGTTTTCAACAATACCCCAATTTCAATCTCCACCATTCATGCGATTCTCTCGTTTTCATCCAATAGTTCGCAGACGAAATTCTCTGTCACTCTCAACAACAACCAGACATGGCTGATTTACTCCTCGTCTCCGATCAATTTGACGCACAGCCTCTCGCAGATTACTTCCGGCGGATTCTCCGGCATCGTTAGAATTGCGGTTTTGCCGAACCCACATTTGGAATCAATCCTCGATCGGTTCTGTTCTTGTTACCCTGTTTCAGGTGAGGTGAATTTCAGAAACCCTTCTTCTTTGGAGTATAAATGGGAGAAGAATGGTTGGGGAAATTTGTTAATGCTTGCACATCCTCTTCATCTTCGTTTACTCTCTAGCGATGATTCCGCCATTGTTCTTGATGATTTCAAGTACAAGAGTATCGATGGTGATCTAGTCGGCGTCGTTGGTGGCTCGTGGGTTTTGAAACCTGACCCTGTTTCTATAACATGGCATTCAATCAATGGCATTGGAGAGGAATTTCAAAGCGAAATTATCTCTGCGCTTGTGAAAGATGTTGAGGGTTTGAAATCTTCACCCATTACAACAACATCGTCTTACTTCTATGGGAAAGCGATTGCGAGAGCTGCTAGGCTCGCATTGATTGCTGAGGAAGTGAATTTTCTTCAGGTGATTCCTGAAGTGAGGAAGTTTTTGAAGGATGCAATTGAGCCATGGCTGCGTGGTACTTTCAATGGCAATGGGTTTCTATATGATAGTAAATGGGGTGGCCTTGTAACCCAACAAGGGGCTTCTGATTCTGGTGCTGATTTTGGATTTGGTGTCTATAATGATCATCATTATCATATTGGTTACTTTCTTTACGCCATTGCTGTGTTGGTCAAGATTGATCCAGCTTGGGGAAGAAAGTTTAGGCCTCAAGCTTACTCTTTAATGGCGGATTTCATGAACTTGAGTAGGAGATCTAGCTCAAAGTTCCCACGTTTGAGATGTTTTGACTTGTATAAACTGCACTCTTGGGCTTCGGGGTTGACCGAATTCGCGGACGGTCGGAATCAAGAGAGCAGCAGTGAGGCTGTGAATGCTTATTACTCTGCAGCTTTGTTGGGGTTGGCTTATGGAGATACTCATCTTGCTTCCGTTGGATCAACACTAACAGCTTTGGAGATCAAGGCAGCTCAAACATGGTGGCAAATCAGGGGAGGGGAGAATCTTTACGAGACTGATTTCGCCAGAGAAAACAAGGTGGTTGGAGTGTTGTGGTCTAACAAAAGGGACAGTGGCTTGTGGTTTGCCCCTCCTGATTGGAGAGAATGTAGGCTTGGTATTCAGCTGCTTCCTTTGTTGCCCATCACTGAGGCTTTGTTCTCTGATGCTGCCTTTGCCAAGGAGCTTGTGGATTGGACATTGCCTTCTTTGAGAAGGGAAGGAGTTGGGGAAGGATGGAAGGGATTTGCTTACGCCTTGCAGGGCATTTACGATAAAGACGGGGCGGTGCAAAATATCCGAAACTTGAAGGGGTTCGACGACGGGAGCTCACTCTCTAATCTGTTGTGGTGGATCCATAGTAGAGGAGGAGGAGAAGAGGGTGAAGGCTTTGGTGGTGGGTGGAAGCATTGGTGGTTTAGCCATTGATCACTGCAACCGAACTATGATCTCGGATGATCCGAAAGCTATTCTATCGAAAATCGACCTTAATCGAACCAAATCCATTTGAATACACAGTGAAAATGAAACAATCTACAGAGTTATATCATCCATTTTATACATATTGATAAGTGAAACATATAGCTGGATTTAGGAGTTGCTGGTGCTGGATTGTGTTTGTTTTTAAATAAAATTGTTGTGCAGTTGATGTTCTTCAGCATGCTTGTGTGTCTGTGTTGCTGTTGTTGATGCCATGATGTTGTTGTCGAATGATTTGAATGGGGATTCTTTGTTCTGTTAATGTTCAGATTCTTCCCTGTCCTGTTGAGAACAAGCTTAGAACTTTTTGTTGGGAGCTCAACACTTTTGGAATATTCTCATTCTTTGTTCCAATCTTTTCCCCAAAACAGGACAGCCCAAATCTCAGGTAAAAGGGATTCAACCAGTAAGATTGCTTCTCATATTCATACCAAAAACGCATGATTATGGGTAACATTTTATAGCGTAACGATGGCCAGTAGTCTTAATACACGTTTGCAATAGAGAGTCTTGTTCTACTTCGACCAAAGCCTCGTATCGTCTGCTTACTGACTCTGATTCCATTTGTAACAACCTAATCCCACCGCTAAAAGATATTGGCAGCTTTGCCCTATTCCTTATAGTCGTCAGCCTCAAGATTTTAAAACGCAAGGGAGAGGTTTCCATACTTTTAGTGGGGTCTCACAATCCACCCTTTTGCATACTGCTTGATGGGAGACGTTTCCACACCTTTAGTGAGATCTCACAATCTACCTCCTTGGAGGCCCAACGCCCTCACTGGCATACCGCTCGATGTTTGCCTTTAATACCATTTGTAAGAGCTCGAGACCACCGCTGGTAGATATTGTTTGCTTTAGCCAACTACGCATTGTCATTAGCCTCATAGTTTTTTAATGTATATACTAGAGAGAGGATTCCACGCCCTTATAAGAAATGTTTCACTCCCTCTCCAATCGATATGAGATCTCACGACATAACATCTTTGTCATATAACTCTTCGGACGAGTGTTATAAATCGTAAGACTAGTCGGTATGCAAATTGGAATTTATTTGGTCCACACCCCATTACTAAATCTTGACATTTATAGCTTAGTCCTTTCTATTTGTTTTTTTTCTTCTCCAAGAATCATTCTTTTGCTCTCTTTTTTATGTCCATTTATAATCTAAGTTTTAACCAATAAATATGTAAATAATCAAATAAAACTTTTTTAATATTAATAAATCTTTTTAAAAAAACTTATACTTTAAGATGGGGAATCTCATAATTGTAAAGTTAGATCTAATAATTGAATCCCAAGTAATTCCAACTAATTTATCAAAACATTTATTAAATCTTATTTTAATGAATATTGTAACTAAATATATTTTTTGGTCAACGGTCAACGGTGATTTTTGATATTTAAATGAATATATTCAGATTTATTGGCCATTATTATATTCCTTTTGACTACTTCCACCTTTTGGCACCTTTGGTATTAATTTTAAAATTTTTAAAATTTTTAAAGAAATAAAACTCATTTTGTTCATTAGAATGAAGAAAAATCTCCCTTTAGATTAGCAATGCAAGAAAACTACAAATTTTCTGTGGCAGATGAACAAACCATTGCAATATTCAAATGAAAATGTTACAAGCTATGAGATGTTAGTGATAAATATTTTAAATTAACAAGTAATAATCAGTTGATTAAACAAATTAAAACAAGAAAACAGAGCTTAGTTGAAAGATTTTAGAACAGTGATGGAGTGTTGTTGCTTCATGAAAATTAAGTAAAAAGAGGAACCATGTTGCAAGATTTTGTTGGTTTGTGATAGAAAATGAATGGAAGAACAAAGAGCAAGTAGTGAAACAGTGATGATTGTGCTGAAAACCGTGTTTTTTTTTTTGGGTTTTTTTTTTTACAAAGCTTTATTCGTTCATTTTGGCCTCTCTGCATGTGCGAGCTCAACATCGGCTCCAGCAAGTCGCACCCACGTTTTGTAAAACCGCCCCCCATTATTGTCACCAGAGGATATTTCTGGGGCTACCGAGTGGACTTCAGAGATCCCATTTTCGAGCTTCGGACTCGGTCGCAGAGGGGGATTTCATCGCTTCAGCGAGAGGTATGAGCTCTGTTCTTCAGTTTCATTCCATTTACTGATGTGGGGTTCCCGCATTTTGCGATTTCGGCATTGGGGTTTCTCTAGTTTTGATGAATTTGTACTGCGCTTTGTTGATCTGGTAGATTATGGTTCGTTTTGTTTGTTCTGTTGATTTGGAAGCTTTGGGATAGGAATTTTGTTCGAATTTCTTTGATAGTTGGCTTACTGAATCAGTGTTTTTGTTGCGCATTTTTGTGAAGTTTGGGCGATTTGAATGAGATTGGTGATACATTGACTGAGATGAGCTCGTGATTGGATTGTGAGGTTTATGTGTGAATGATTCTGTAATCGGGAATGGAAGTTTTGTGGTGAATCTTGTGATTGTTTAAGGGCTCTGTGAATTGGATTATGGCTTCTTCGCCTTCTCCGAGTGTTTCTCCTCCTGAGAATCCGTCAGATTCCGCATTTTTTTCACCTCCTTCTCCTTCTCCTCCGGCGGAATCCGCAATATCTCCGACATCTTCTGAGCCTAATCAGACCGGTGAACCTCCTTCTTCACCTTCTACTCCTTCAGCTCCACCTCCTCAATCACCACCAGCTGATGCTCCTCCTCCTTCTCCTCCACTGTCTCCTCCACCATTGACAGCATCACCACCTGCACCACCTGAATCCCCACCTCCTCCACCACCACCTTCGCCTCCTTTATCTTCGCCGTCGCCACCATCAACCTCTGCACCACCACCTTCAACATCAACCTCTCCTCCACCACCACCACCACCAACTTCCTCTGCATCACCACCTCCTCCAGATCAATCCACTGCCTCTCCTCCTCGTGATGCTTCTCCTTCGCCTCCTGATTTAACGACGTCGCCGCCTCCACCACCAGCAGCAGACAATTCTCCACCTCCTCAATCTAATCCTAGTCCTCCACCTTCAACTTCCTCTCCTCCTCCCCCTGACATAACTTCAGCTTCTCCACCTCCACCTTCTAAGGCCCCAACACCACCTTCACCGAAGGGAGAGTCGCCTAATGTATCTCCCCCAGCCCCCAAGGTTTCTCCTCCTCCTTCTGATTTTCAATCTCCACCATCAGTTGAGGTCCCCCCACCAAGATCCTCAGTTCCATCACCTCCTCCTTCAGTCCCTTCATCATCTACTCCTCCTCCAGTTACTCTTCCTGGTTCTCCATCTAATTCATCCGCTGAAGGCCCCATTAGCCCTCCAACTTCTGGTATACCCGAACGACCGATTCCAACAATGAATGGTACTGACATCACAGCAAAGAAAGGGGGTCTCAACACCGGAACATCTGTGGCAGTTGGCAGTGTGGTTGGTGTTCTAGTGCTGAGTCTTGTTATCATGGGTATGTGGTTTGTTCTGAAACGGAAGAGAAGAAAGAAGAGTATCCCTTACGCCATGCCTTCTCCTTTTTCCTCCCAAAACTCAGGTACTGTATTCGAACTCCAAATTTTGAGTGTTTCCATAACATTTCGAATGCTAACTTTTCATATTTTCTCCAGATTCAATTTTCTTAAGGCCCCATTCTTCAGCTCCCATGGCAGGCAGTCGTACCGATAGTGAATTCAAGTATTCATCATCTGAAGGAGGTGGAGTAGGTAATTCAAGATCATTTCCTTATGAAGAGCTACACCAGGCAACGAGTGGATTTTCGTCGAATAATCTTTTGGGGGAAGGTGGATTTGGTTGTGTGTACAAAGGCACCCTTGCAGATGGTAGAGAGGTAGCCGTTAAACAACTTAAAGTGGGTGGTGGTCAGGGAGAACGAGAGTTCAGAGCCGAAGTTGAGATTATTAGCCGAGTACACCATCGACATTTGGTTTCCCTGGTCGGTTACTGTATTTCTGATTATCAAAGATTGCTCGTCTATGATTATGTTCCAAACAATACCCTTCATTACCATCTGCACGGTAAGATGTTGTCTTACTTCATGCAATATTATTTAGTTAATGTAGAAAGTAAGTTTATAAGTTTTTATCGTTTTTTTAATTTCAGATGCGAACAGGCCTGTTTTAGCTTGGGCTACACGTGTTCGAATCGCTGCTGGTGCAGCCCGTGGAATTGCTTACCTACATGAAGATTGTAAGTTTCCCACTTTCAGCATTGGTAGTGACCCTTTGAAATTAGTTGAGGTGTGCATAATGTTCTGGTGATTCTTACCAGGCCATCCACGCATTATTCACAGGGATATTAAATCGTCTAACATTCTGCTCGATATCAACTTCGAAGCTCAGGTAATTTGCTAGAACTCTTTTTAACTGCTGTGATTATCGTCGCCCCCAAAACTATAATTTGTGAATTATGGTTAGAGAAAACCTTTTAATTATTGATAACAGACATTGATTGTTTGAACTTCTTGAGGGATAACATAAGATCGTGAGGTTTTATGTGCACTTTTTAGTTATTTGTCATTTGCTTCTGATAATGTGTACTCTACCACTAACAGGTTGCAGATTTTGGGCTTGCTAAATTGGCATTGGATTCGCATACACATGTAACGACTCGTGTAATGGGAACCTTTGGGTATGTCGTCTATGAAACCAAGTTATCTACCAATCAACTCACTAAAATGCTCTAACCATCTAGAGATACCCAAACCTAGCTACAAAATCAAACAGGCAAAAACGCCCGTTTCAACGTCAGAATGGCCAAACCCAACATTGCTCCCTAGTAGACGCGTTTTAAAATTGTGAGGCTAACAATGTTACATAATAGGCCAAAGCAGACAATATCTGTAACAGTTGCAGATACTGTCTGCTTTGACCCATTACGTATCGCCGTTAGCCTCACGGTTTTTAAAACGCGTCTGCTAGGGAGAGATTTCCACACCCTTATAAGGAATGGTTCGTTCTCCCCTACAACCGATGTGAGATCTCAACATCTACCCCCCTTGGGGGCCCAACGCCCTCGTTGACACACTGTTTGATGCCTTGCTCTGATACTATTTGTAACAGCCCAAGCCCACCGCTAGCAGATATTGTGAGATTTGGCCCATTACGTATCGCCGTCAGCCTCACGATTTTTAAAATGCGTCTACTAGGGAGATAATTCCACACCCTTATAAAGAATACTTTGTTCCCCTCTCCAACTGATATGGGATCTCACAATATCTGCCAGCAGTGGACTTGGACTGTTACAAATGGTATCAGAGTCAAGCACTTGGTGGTGTGCTAGCGAGGATGCAGAGCCTCTAAGGGAGGTGGATTGTGAGATCCCATTGGTTGGAGATGGGAACGAAGCATTCCTTGTAAGGGTGTGAAAACCTCTCCCTAGCAGACACGTCTCAAAACCGGAGACTAACGGCGATACGTAACAGGCCAAAGCAAACAATATCTGGTAGCTGTGGACTTGGACTGTTACAAGAAGAAACACACATTCATTAAACAAAAGAAAAGCATGGTGGTTCTCTAGTTTTTTTACTTCAGGAATTGCAAATGGCCTGTTCAGTTCGTGTTCTTGTTTCTGTATCGACTATACGTAAAAATTTCTGTTTGTAATCTTCAGATACATGGCTCCAGAATACGCAACAAGTGGGAAATTGACAGACAAATCTGATGTTTTCTCTTTTGGGGTTGTACTTTTGGAGTTAATTACCGGTCGCAAGCCTGTAGATTCTTCTCAGCCTTTAGGGGACGAGAGCTTAGTCGAATGGGTAAGCCTTCTCTATCTTAACTTCCTTCTTGCCATATAACCAGGCAAGACATTAACCTCCATCAAAACTTCAGGCTCGACCGTTGCTGGCACAAGCTATCGAGGACGAGAATTTTGAAGAACTGGTGGATCCAAGGCTAGAGAACAGTTACGTTGACAGAGAAATGTTTCGGATGATCGAAGCAGCCGCCGCATGCGTTCGTCATTCGGGAGTAAAGAGGCCAAGAATGAGTCAGGTTAGTATCTCCATATGATACATAAAAGTTTGAACCAAATGGTAAAAGCATTAGATGAAAGTGTTGTGATATGATATCTATCAGGTGGTGAGAGCTCTAGACTCATTAGATGAAATGTGTGATCTCGCAAATGGGGTGAAACCTGGGCAAAGTGGAGTGTTTAATTCAGCTGAACATTCTGCTCAGATCAGAATGTTTCAAAGAATGGCTTTTGGGAGTCAAGATTACAGCTATGGTTACTCGGATCGAGATCGAAGTCGGAGTTACAGTCAAACTCCGAGTAGCTGGAGTAGAGAATCCAGAGATCAAAGCCCGTCGGCGCCTATGAATCGATCCCGACAATGGAACATCTGAATTTGGAGGTGGAATCAGGTTGAATTCCTTGTAAATCTGTGCTCAAATTTTCCGATTACAAATTTATTCTGTTGATGTTCTCCTCTGTCTGGTAACAAGGTTTTGACATGATAAAAGCTTGGTATTTTGAGGAGTAACTGTACTATTCTTTGTACACTACTTACTATTCTTTGTGGCAAGTAATTGAATTTTGAAGCCTGGTTTTAGGGATGAATTTACTTGCTCATATCTTCTTCATTTTTTTTGTATTTTCAATCCTAGATAATAATAATAATAATAATTTTTTTTAATAAAAATGTGAAACCTTCTCTCCCGTAGATGGGTTTTAAAATCTGAGGCTGACGGGATAAGTAACGAGCCAAAATCGACAATATTTGCTGGCGGTGGGTTTAGACTCTTATCGATACAGTGGAACTTGGTGGATTTTGTTCTTTATATTTCTTTATGTTATGATTAGATATTTTTTTTAACATAAACAATGAACCCAACCCGACTCAACCATCAATTTTTTTTATTAGGTTTGTTCGGTTGATTTATTCAATTTTTTTAAAATTGAAGTAAGATATTAATTTATAAAATATTCATTTATTTATTTTATTTTTAAGTGAGTTAGAAAATAAAAAATTAAATAAATAAATAAATATAGATATATATAATTGATGATAAGAAAAGTTTTATATTTTTAAAATTAAGTTTGGTCCGGGGTTCAACTCAAATTAATTCATAATTTAACTTAAATTAATTTTAAAATTATTTGGAAGAATTAGATATTTCAATGACTAAAACGACATCGTTTGTTGAGCCAATGAGACAAAGAGAATGAGAGAGAAGCTTACACTTCCTTCCTGGTAAACGTGGTTCACTAGTTGAGAGTAAATCGTCACATAATTTCTCTCTACTTTCTCGCGGGGAGAAATATTGTTTCCACAAAAGAACTGAAATCATCCAGATAGTGAAGGAGAGAGAGAGAGAGCTCAGAATGGGAGAAGAACGAGAGGATTCACAGAGGCTGAAGAGAGCAGCAGCGGCAGCTTACGACTACGAGAACGATCCCAGATGGGCTGATTACTGGTCTAACGTTTTGATCCCTCCTCACATGTCTTCCCGCCCCGATGTTGTTGACCACTACAAACGCAAGTTCTACCAGCGCTACATCGTGGGTTCTCTCCCTTTTGATTGTTCTTCATTTGGGTATCGCTATTTCTTCAATTTACACTCCGTACTGTGGATTCATTTAACCAAGTTGTTAAGTTTCTTTTGGATTATTAGGCGTTGGGTTGCAAGTTTTTGTTGCTTTCGAATTTATGCCATTTGATCCTTGCTAATATATCCGTTGTGGAGTGTTGTCTCTTATGAATTTTGAGATTTTATGTGGATCTTTGGTTGTTACTGGAGTTTAGAGAGGATTTACAAGTCATTTGGTTCAAATTTTAAAATGATTTTGTTTGAGCTGAAAATTGGGGCATTTGTTTAATTCCTCTTTCATTGAATTTGTGCTCTTTGGTGACTGCTGAAATTGAATTGCCTTCTTGCACTTGTTTTTAAATTTACTTTGTGCTTCTTTTCCTTGCTTGGTTGTCAAAACAGGACCCTGAATTCGTGGTAGAGGCCATGTCTTCTAGTAGTTCTACTCAGTCATCCCGATCTTCAGCAACATCTTCTGCAGTACCCCCTCCTACTAATGATCGAAGCCAACCGCGAAATTCAGGTAGAAGTTTTGTTTTTATATTTCTGTAATGTTAGAGATTAAGTTGTAGAATTTTTTTAATGTTAATGTTGAATCTACCTGATTGGATTTCTATAATGATCGCTTGTAATGATGCAGGATCAACGACTCGGACTTCAGGTACATCTGCAAGTGCAGATCCTAATCCAACCCCGTTACGCTGGGATCGACAAACAATCCAGTTTTCGGTCAACGCATGGGTAGGGTTAGTTTAGTTCCTGCTTGCTTGCATGATCTTGCGAAATTGGTAGAACCACAGAATGTTAGAGGGCTACACTATCAAAGTTGTTATTTATGTTATTCTGTTTTTTTTCCTTGAACTTGAGTTGCTGGTTTTATGAAAGCTTAACTTTTAGTTACAAAGATTTCATTTCATCAATTCCAACAGACGAAATGTAATTCTTATAAGTTTTGTTGAGAAAAGCTTGTTCATACGATCATTCACTATTTATATCTTAAATGTTGTTCTTTCCTTCTCTTTGTGGAGCTATCCCCATCATAACCTAAACTTTCCAATGCCCTTGAAGAGGTATTAAGGGTATTTTCATTAAAATCTATTGCTTGTCTTTGGTATTGTCTCAGAGTAGTTATGGATCTTTCTGTTCTGCTTCCATCCTTAAAAGTTAATATTTTGTTCTGCAGGTGTTCATTGTGGCTGTGCTGGCAATTTTCCCCCTAATTCCCAAAAATCTTTCACAGAGGGCATATAGGCTTTCTTTTATGGGCACAGCTTGTTCTTCTTTATATTCTTTGTACTCATTGTATGGGGTAAGTTATCCATTCGAATTTAACGGCCCCATTCCGGTTCTATGAAGATGTTTGGTTTCTTATTCAGAAAAAGAAAAAAAAAAAAAGAAAAAAAATTGCCGTTCATGAATTGCCCCTTTTCGTCCATGCCAGTTTATCTATATTATCTTTTATTTAAGTTATTAGTCTTTTAATGTTTGCAGAAGCCCAGGGCATGGAATTTGCAATCATTGCAAGCTTATTTCCAGTCCATAATTGCAACAAAAGATTTCATTTCCTTCACTTACTGTATCACCTTTGTGACTTCAAATATTTGTCTCAAATGTAAGCATAGCTTCGCTAATCAAGTTTTGTTTACTTATTTATCTCTACGGTGTCACTGAATATCTATTCATTCATGTAATTTTTTGTCTTTTTCATTATGCGTGGTAAGATTTCTAATTTTTTTTTAATTGTTTATGCAGTTGCTTTAATTCCTATCCTGTGTCGGGCTGTTGAACATGTTGCAAAGTTTCTTAGGCGTAATTTTGCACGTTCGTCCTTATACAGGTAGCATGTTATCAGTTTTTGGTTCGATTTATCATTTATTTGTTGTATGAGATATGTCCACTTGAATTTTGATTATGATGTCTCCACCCCCAAGAAAAAAGTATCCTAGTCTTTGTGCTTTCAATCTAGATTGTTTGTATGTTTTATTTTTACTTTTCCATCGTTGTTTGTTGTGCCCAGAGAAGGATATACTGCTTCATGAACACAGATTTCAGTATAGTTGTTTGCCCCCTAATTTTACTGATACGTTATGAAATTAGTGGCTTTTAATTCTGAAAAATGTCTGCAAAAAACTTTTGCTGAAGGATCATATTAAATAAGCAGTAGAAACGAAGTGGTGTACTGTAACAGCCCAAGTCTACCGCTAGTAGATATTGTCCGCTTTGGCTTGTTACGTATCGCTGTCAGCCGCACAGTTCTAAACGCGTCTGCTAGGGAGAGATTCCATACCCTTAGAAGGAATTCTTCGTTCCCCTCTCTAACCGATGTGTGATCTCACAATCTACCCCCTTGGGGTCCAACATCCTCGCTAGCACACTGCCCCGTGACTGGCTCTGATATCATTTGTTGTAACAGCCTAAGTGCACCACTAGCAAATATTGTTTTCTTTGGGCCTTCCCTTCAAAGGCTTCCCCTTAAAGTTTGTTAGGGAGAGGTTTCCACACCCTTATAAGAAATGATTCATTCCCCTCTCCAACCGATGTGGGATCTCACATGTACATACAACCGAGAGAGAATAAACTGATTGAGATTCCTTTGATTGAAATTTGTAAGGTGTATATTATTGATACTAGCATAACATGTTTTTTAGGGAATTAATGAGTGTTCAAGAACAAAGGAGAATTCAAGTGGTGTGGTCTCCTGTCTCCATGCATGAAGTATAGATGAATGTGTATTACCTCTTAGTTTTCTCATGTGCTTAAAAAATCTGCTTGTTCACTCTATTTATCACTCAAGTTCATGACAATAACAAATCAAGTTGTCTCTGTACAAGTATCTCATGGCTTTATGCTTTCTCTAAATTGTTGCAGGAAATATATGGAAGATCCTTGCGTATGGGTGGAATCAAATACTACTACTCTTAGCATCCTATCTTCGCAGGCTGAGATTGGACTTGGATTCATTTTAATCATCTCTCTGCTCTCGTCAGTTTTTAGCCCTTAGATCATCTTCTTTGCCTTTTTTGCTCCTCCACTTTCTAATACTCCTTTCTTTTCAATGATCTTTTCAAACTCGTGTTCTGCAGGTGGCAACGTAACTTCTTACATACATTCATGTACTGGCAGGTGTGTTTTTCTTGTTATCATTTGTATAATTGCATAATAACTTGTTGAGGATTGTTGTGAGGGAGTCCCACATTGATTAATTTAGGGAATGATCATAGGTTTATAAGTAAGGAATGAAAAGCCGTGAGAGATTATGCTCAAAGTGGACAATATCATACCATTGTGGAGAGTCATTGTTTTTTTGAACCATAGTTTTTTTGAAATCATTATCTCAAGAACGCATGGTCTTTTTTTGATGTCACAAGTCATGAATAGGCTCTTTGAGTGCGTTTCTGTTGTTGAAACTTGTTTATTTTGTTTTCATATTCTTGAAATGGAGCTGGTGATTCACTTATTTTGTTGTGAACCATTTCGAAACGCAGCTGCTAAAGCTCATGTATCATGCTCCTGTCACTTCTGGGTATCATCGAAGTGGCTGGGCCAACATTGCGAGTGTCGTTTCTCCGCTGATCTACCGCTATGCTCCGTTCCTTAATACTCCTCTTTCAATGGCGCAAAGATGGTGGTTCAGGTAGAAGCTAATAATAGAGGAAGAAGATGTATCAAAATTTATAGACTAATCCCAGTAGTGACTGTCCTCCCACTTTTTGAAGCTGAAAATTGGTGTCACCATGTCTTGAAAACCAACTTCTTAGATTCTCACTTAGGTCTGTGGAACAAGTTTGGCTTCCAAATTCAACTCTTCTTTTGTTCTTTGTTTTCACTATTCATAAAAATACATCTTAGGAGATTATGTTCGAAATGGGAATTAAAGTTTTCTATTCTATATGAAGGTATCTCATGGCGGTGGCTACGTTCCCTCTTTCATGGTAACGGTAGCAAAGGTTCTCCCTTATGACTTTTTAAACGTTAATTGTGAGACCCCACATTGGTTAGAGTTGGAAAGGGGAACGAAACATTCCTTATAAAGGTGCTAATAGTGGCAATACGTAACAGGTTAAGACGGATACTAATCATTTTAACTGAGTATATTTATATTAGTTATCATTTTTGTGTTTGGTTCTTTTTATAATTTGGAGTTTAATTTGTCTTGATCTAAAATAAATGTATTTTATTATTTTATTTTTCAATACTATATAGAAAGATAAATATTAATATTGTAAAAGAAAAAAAAATAATATTTGTGTTGCATATGTTTCATTTTTACTATATTATATATAAAAACGTTATATACTATATACTTTTATTTAGTATAGAATGTAAGTTTCTCCCTAAGTTTATATTCGTAGAGCACACTATTCCAAATTTAATATAAAATAAAAATTTGATAATTAGTGAGTGAATTAGAAAAAAATTGAATATAAAATAATTAACTTGGGAACAATGTGGAGAATTTGAGAGTTAAAATGGATTTTATTTATAAAGAAAAAAGGAAAAATGATCTTAATCGTACGGCCAGAACTCATCCATTTACTACGCCGCCCGGATCAATTGATCTGTCCTCGCTCGTCGTCATGGTCTGGCGGATCTTTTCCAATTTCCGGCTCCGGCAGATCTCTCTTGCAGTCGCTTTACCTTCTTCCGCTTATCCTTTTCCCAATTCAGGGTCCGAATGCTACTGACCCACTCAGGTACCTTTTCCAGAACCCGAATTTCTATCTTACTCCTCTTACCATTAGTTTCTTCTTATTTGGTTGATTACCACGTAGGCTGAACTAAACTGGAATGTGCTCGAATTATGGAAATTTTGAGCCTGTTTACAAAGTCCCGTTTGACTATTGAGTCTGAATTTGCTTTTCTCAATGCATGGTTTAAATAATGTTTGTTTGTTTGTTTTTTTTCAAAAATTTTAAATTTGAAAAGTTGCTTGGTGCTTACAAATGATTTCCTGGTAATTCTAGTAGCTGTACTTGCCTCTAATAGGACGCTGGCTCATTTATATTTGCTGTCAAATTTTCGGCTTCCGTTTTCACAATTTGCATCTAATTTCCATTCGATTGGTGTTTTGATGTTGCTGATACAGTACGTTGAAGCCTTGCGTAATAATTTATGATAAAGGAGCTTGGACAAGAGTGCTGATTACAAGAAATTAAAGAAGTTCAAATGTCCACCCCAAATTTGTTGTACTGAAAAATACATTAACGTCAACTTGATGATGCTGTTTTAGTTTTAATACAACTTGGATATGTATTCTTCTTCATATTCAGAATTTCTAGACGGCAGTTCCTTGGATTAGTATCTAACCCTACAATGTTATGCAATGAAGTCGCTTGTAGATGGTTAATATCCTAAAGGTGGGCCTCTAGGGGAATTTGAAACCGGGTCCTAGATATGTTCCATGATTCTTACATTTAAAGCTTGAGATTTCTTTGAAATTATTGGATTCTAAGTCTGGTATTGATATTATTCAAATTGTATGTAATTAATTAAGTTCCTAGTCTACTTTTACCTGAAGCGTTCTTAGTGTTGTTATGGCGTTAACATGTGCCATTGCTACCTTTTATTGATAGGTGATACCGCCTGGGATTCAGTTTCTTCCTGCTGATTAAATCTACAGTTACCAAGTTAACTATTTGCTACAGAATTGTCCATTGTATCTCCATTTATGGGTACTGAGGATTTCATTGGACTGCCAGCTTCTGGTGATTCTGGTAATGATGACGAGAGTAATGAGTCTCTTAGCTGTAATGAAAGAAGAGAAGCTTATTCTCAATCAAGTATTTTGAAGTGCAAGGACGATGATGCAAGCATAAAGAGGGTTGAGCTTGAGGATGGACAGTTTGAAGATACGCATTGCATACCTCAATCTGACCTTAATGATGAAACACAACGTTCTGATTCGGATATGGAAATTGAGGATTTGAATAACCTCCCAGATTTTAGTAATACTAGAAGTAGAAATGGGAATAATACAATACGGACTGAAGCAGAATACCTGTCAGTCAACTCTGCAGATGAGAGCATACAACCAAGCAGAGAGCTCTTGCAGCAGAATGAACTTCGTCAGAGATATGGAGATGTTTATGATGCTGAAAGTAGAAATTTTGAAAAGGATTTGGTTGGTAATTCATCCTTCTTGAAAACTGGTGGTCAATTGTCTGTAACCAACAGAGTTTCAATTGAGTTGAATGGATTTAACTCTGGAGTGCCCGTTGAGAATGGTTTGTCTCCATCCCATCTTGGAGGCCCCAGTAAGATTCACAGGAGTGGTGGTAGTTGGGTTTTTTATTCTGAATCTTTCTCCTTTCGTGATTTACTTTCAAAAATTGATCCATAGCCTTATATGTCTGTGTGCATATATATTATCTTTTTAAGGCATATCCTATTCTAATTTTCTATAATTTACAAGGTTTTAATTGTGTTACTAAGAGTTATTTTTCTATTTATCCAGCAATATCAGGTGTGAAAAGACCAAGGACAGCAATGGATGAGCAACAGCCTTCAGTGCACATCGTGTATAATTCTTTAACAAGGTTGGCTGTGTAACTGGTGCTGCAAAATGAATCTATTTATTCTATTTAATAAAATGTAATATTTTGTTATAATTAAGAAACATTTATCCGTGCCAAACAGGGTAAAACATGGTGATATTGATTGCATTAGGATTTTAAGGGATTAGAGTGCTCCCAGTGTTACTGAGTAGAGAACTATCATCATTTGAATTTGTACATCCGAATAACTGATCAGTAGTGAGATGAAGCAATTTTCTGAAATTGATTTGTCATCGAAGCCCATATAAATTTTAAATTGTCATTGAACATTGTTCTCCTAGTTGGCAATTCACATCCCCCTAAAAATGTTTCTTCATTTCCTTCAAAATGTTCGATTGTAATACTTATTTTATCTTTTTTTTTTAAATTTTTTTTTATTTATTAATCCTGTTGAAGCTGATTTTCTTATAAAAAAAATTCAAATGTAATGTTGGTCAAACAACTTATAGATAAATTCTTTCAGCAACATAATTTGTAAGTTTCTAACTAGATTCATTTTCTCATTTCCAGAGCTAGTAAACAAAAGCTCGAGGAATTATTAAAGCAGTGGTCTGAGTGGCATGCTCAACAAGGTTTTCTATGCCAAGTAAGCCTCATCCGTCAGTGCTGCTTGCTTTGCAGCTAATTTCTCTGATTTATTGTTCAAGATGTAGTTATATACAATCTTGTGGAGTTTAGAATTAACTATTTTCTATCTAATTTTGTTGAATAGTTAAATAGAGGCTTACCCATCTGTACACAAGTGTTTTTCTGTTTATGCTTTCTCTTCACAATTGATATTTTCTAAATTTAAAGTTCACCATCTTGAGTTATTGTTCCTGTTTCAACTTTCTTAAAATGAGGCTCTTAATCTTTGACTTTGAATGAAGAAGCAAGCAAGCCTCCAACGGTTGGCTAGTGGTCAAATGGTAAGCTATAGGTTGATGAGGTTGCTATCCTCTAAAATAAATGAAATCCCCTTCGCAGTGTGTCTTACAACCAGTGAACCTGAATGATGTGTATGGGTTTGTCTATACCATGTAGGTTCATATGAAGATTAACAAGTGTTGAGGAGAAAAACACTAGAGCTCAGTGAATCCATAATTCTAGTGAACTAATAAGTTTATGGAAAGCATGCTAAAGTTTTTCCAAGGATTCTACGGTGTAGCCGAGTCTAGGAAGGGCTGGTTTCTTGACTGCCTGGGTGCTTGTAAAATAAACTACCTAGTTAATTTGAATGAAAGTGATCTTATGAGAGTGTTTATTGTGGACTCTAATGTGTAGCCGAGTCTAGGAAGAACTGGTTTCTTGACTGGCTGGAGGATCGTAAAATAAACTGCCATGTTAGTTTGCACGAAAGTGATATTATGAGTGTTTATTGTGGACAAAATTCTTGAGTGTGCTGTCTGAAAACCTATATGTGCTGTTTAGTGCAATGTATGAATTAAACGTCTGGGGTGAATTAGATTCTACAAAGGTAATCCCTCGTATTTCTAAACCTTATCGTCCTTCTGAAATCCATTTTCTTCTTTTTAACATTTCATGGAAAATCTGTATTAAGTCCTTTTAGTTGGTAAAAATTATATATATATATATTTTTTCATTGGATGAGTATTTTGGCTTTTTGTCTGTTTTTGGTGGGGAGGTGGAGTAATTAATTGAATTTGTTTTTTTCTCTGCTCAGGATGATAAAGAATCTGAAAATCTAGAATCTGGAGAAGAGACATTTTTTCCTGCTCTATTTGTTGGCACAAAGAAGATTTCATCCGTGGTGACTATCCTGTCCTTTCGTCCATAATCGTTTATATCTGAGATTGTTTACCTATGTTTATATCACTTTTGAATGGCGATTCTATTTTTGGGTTTAGTTAGCAGCTATTATTGTAGGCATTGGATCATTGTTTCCTGTTCTTTTACTTCCTTCTATTTATATCTTTTGTGCCAAGTCTCAACTTGAGAGGAAAAGTTACAATCTGGCCTTCCTTTTGTCATTCTTGAAACATTCTTATTTTATGTTTGTTTGACCACAGACCATCGTGTTTGAACAATTGAATTGCTGATAGTAATCAATAGATATATGTTTGACAAACTCACTAGATGGCTTGCTTTTAGTAACATGTGAGCCGGGCGTGGAAACAAAGAAACTGATAACTTTGTGGATACACAATATGGGAATATGTTAACAAACTTTCTTTTTGTTCATGTTATTATTCTTCATTCAGTTTGACGCTGGAGGCAAAAACTAAATCTATTTTGCAAATTGGGAAGGTTGGAAGGTCTTTTGTAAACACCATGGATTTTACATTCTTCTTGTAAATTTCACTCATCAATAAAATTGTTTCTTATCATAAAAAAAAAAAAAAAAACTAAATCTATTTTCCCTTATGGTTCTTTGTATATATGGTTGTGTAAAGAATTTGTGAATGCTTTATTAGTTTTTTTCCTCTCTTGTTTTCTTAGCTACTTTCTGTATTTTCCTTCTTAATCGTTGTTTAACTGCAGACTTTCTGGATTGACAACAAAAAAAGTGAACAGCAGCAAAGTTTTATTCCTTTAGACGATAATTCTGTGCCACTATATGATCGGGGATTCACTTTAGGACTGACTTCAGCCAATGATTCGAGTAATACGGAAGGGTAAATTCTCTTTATTCACCATTGTTGGATGAAATATTTTAGTGGGTTACCCTTCCTAGTTTTGGACTATTACATGAAAAGAACAGGAAACAATGATCCAATACCAATAATTAATTCGCATGTATGTTGCAAATATGTTGCCTAGAGTGCAATTAGTGGATATGTTATTTTAGAACTCTATTCATTTTTTGCTGTAATCAGGTAATCTGGTTACAGTGCACCAAGTTTAAAGGATTAGAAACTTCTACCTAATGCCATACAAGGACCACTCGTATCAGTCTTATAGTGAAGTTAAGGCTAATTGACAATACTTTGTTATCATTGTAGTGAGTCAGAAGCTTATTTATTCATGAAATTTGAGTTGATGAGTTGAGCTAATAGCAAGGGACAAGAAAATATTAAGAAGTAAAGGTAGCTTTATATTAAAAATGAAAACTAGTCCTTGATTTCCATGTTTTCCATGTCAATGGAAATGATGGGATTCTTTGTAATAGTTCATATCTTTTTAGTCTAGTAAAGAACATTAATATTAATACGGGTGTATACTTGGGTTTGCATGATGTTTAGGTGCCTTCCATTAGTGCTTTGTTAATCTTTTGCCCTTTTACTACAGCACTTTGAACTTGTTTTTTCCTTTTTCTTTTTTCTTTGGCAAAATTTTTAGAGGTCAGAAGATAATTGATGATGCTAGCCGATGTTTCAATTGTGGTTCTTACAATCATTCCTTAAAGGATTGCCGGAAACCTAGAGATAATGCTGCAGTTAATAATGCCCGCAATAAGTCTAAAAAACATTATAGTTCTGGCTCACGCAATTCAACCCGATATTATCAGAATTCACGCGGTGGGAAGTATGATGATTTGAGGCCAGGAGCTCTTGATGCTGAAACACGGCAATTGTTAGGTCTCAAGGTATTATAACTATCTCGTTCTTAAGAATTATTTCCTTCATGGCTTGTCAATAGGAAAGCAAATAATAATTTAATACTGACCGCAGTATTACAATTAATAACTTCGACTCCAATTTGGTTGCATGTGATTACCATTTGATTGTGTGCTTGATGTTCTTTTCTCCCAAGAGCATATCCATGAGAGCTCTGATTTTTTTTTTTCAGCTCATGGTTTCCATAGTTAATTCATTTTGAGTGGAACAGAATGATCCTATAGAAGGTGTAATGTGCATAGCCATTTGAATTGGCAATTTAAGATAATTTGGAAGTCATGTCAAATTAGGATGTTTTCCACAATAGAAGAATTATCAACTAATGTGTGTGTGTGTATATACATACATATATAACATACATACATCTAATATCTATATCTATATCTATATATATATATATGTTGCCTCAGGAGCTTAGAATACGGACTCCAATTGGCTAATATGAAAAAGGGGCTATAGTATAAAAGGGTCCAGGTTAAGTCCCTTTGGATTTCTTGTCGGATTTACTCGGGCTGTCTACTTCTGATGTGAACTTACCCCTTTCTGAGCATCTATTCTTTTTTGCCTTACTGATAGTTGTCCTTTTGGATCTTAGGAGTTTATGATTCTCCTAAAGAAAAACTAGGAATTTGAGGGCTTAGGTTGTCTCTTGGTCTGTTTGGCTCTTGATGTCATCTGCCATAAATAAACAGTTTTCGAGATTAAATAGGTACAAACAAAAGTTTAGAAATCAATGAAGATTGGTGTATGGTTTGAAAATTAAACGCATAATTTAGTACGTATTTTCAAATAGGAAATTTTGATCTATACACGTAAACTTCATGAGTTGGAGTCATATGTGGTTACTGTTTTGATATTCTATTCACTATTCAGGAACTTGATCCGCCCCCTTGGCTTAACAGAATGAGAGAGCTGGGATACCCACCGGGATATCTAGGTAATTACATTACGTTATCAATGCTGCTTTCAATTCAGTCATTACATATAGTTCTTTTAATATTTTATCGTCTTCGTACCTTCTTTTGTTTTTATCAATGAGAGGTGCTACTTCCATTGCCAAAAAAAGAAATTATTTTTGTGGCAGCATTTTGTGTTTTCTTAACTCAGATTCCATTACAATTAACAGTTGTTTTTTAGTTATTATCTGCCTGATGCATTTCTCAGTGTTTCCTGCTGCATTCGACTTGTGAGAATTCTCGTGAAATATTTCCTCTTCCTGATTTTATGTCGTCATCTCTTCAGGATAAACTTTAGGGTTTTGTTGCTCAATGCTTAGTAGAGTAGTTCTTGGGAGATTTGAAGGGAGAGGATAAGGGAGGTTACATCTTTGGAAAATACTTGGATTCGTTACTTGTTTCTTCCGCTTTGAGCCATTCGACCATCAATTTTGTGATTAGTCATTCTTTCTTCTGTGCTTATTGGAGATGTTCTTGGTTTGGGGGTTCTGCTATGTAACCGCTTAAGTCCACCCCTAGCCGATGATGTTCTTTTTGATCTCTTCCTTTTGAATTTCCCTTCAAGGTTTTAAAAATGCGTCTGTTAGGGAGAGGTTTCCACACCCTTATAAAGAATGTTTCGTTTTCCTCCCCAACCAATGTGGGATCTCACAATCCACCCCCTTTGGGGGCATCGCGTCCTCGCTGGCACATTACCTGGTGTCCACCCCTTTGAGGCTCAGCATCCTGCTGGCACACCGTCCTGTGGCTGGCTCTGATACCATTTGTAATAAACCAAGCCCACCGCTAGCAGATATTGTCCTCTTTGGGCTTTCCCGTTCGGGCTTACTTTCAAAGTTTTTAAAACACGTCGGCTAGGAAGAGGTTTCCACACCCTTATAAAAAATGTTTTGTTCCCCTCTCCAACATGGAGAGATATCATATGGGAGTGTAGGTTTGACGAAATAAACCATCCAGCAGGACAGGATACAGATATTCCAACTTACCGAACCTGATTAGGGTTACAACATAGCTAACCCTAGAATGATGCCAAATTGAATCTAGGTTTCCTGACTAGAAAAGATGATAAATCTCTAACCATTTTAATAACAAAAATGAAATAAAGAACTCCTCTGCAGTGTTATGTTCACTATTTAATAGCAGTAAAAAACTTGTTATCTTTCAGATCCGGAAAATGAGGATCAGCCGTCAGGGATTACAATATTTGCTGATGAGGAAACAGACGAAAAGGAAGATGGGGAAATTACTGAGACAGAGTATAGTAACCCACGAAAGAAGATGAGTGTTGAATTTCCTGGCATAAATGCTCCAATCCCAGAAAATGCAGATGAAAGACTTTGGGCTGCTGAACCTTCAAGTTCAGGTCTTCCTAGAAACTGGTCGAACCAGCGCTTGAACCATCATACAGATTATGATGGGAGGGGGAATGATCACTCTCAACCACGATGGTCCCGGGATTACAGAGACGACGGACCTCCAGGCGTTGACTCGGTAAAAAGTCCTCCCATGTCGTTCACTCCGAGGTATGGTGGTCAAGATTTTAGTTACGACTCCCAAAGTTCAAGGGGTACGTCAAGGACCCCAAATTTGGGGAGGGTCCACTCAGATAGAGGTAGAAGAAGCCCAGTGCATGACGACGATTACTCGAGATATGGCTCTCAGAGTTCTCCGCTGTTTTCACCACCAAGAAGACGCTGATATTTGGAGATTAATAGCCAGGCTTTGTAGAAATAAATACCTTCTGAAGGAATTGAGGCTGTGAAGTGAAATAGGTTTGACATCCTTATTTCAAAGCTGGTGAAGATCAGGTGACTTGAATTTGAAAGAATTATTTGTGGAAATAAACTAGAGATAGAGAGCCTGTATAGAAGAATCATATATGGGTGAGTCTTTGAAATCAGTTGCTGAATTTTTGACTTTCTGCTGTATATGGGTTATTCACTTGTACTGATTTCTCATGCTCCATACTAGCTTAGCTGCAATGGATTCTTGGGCTACCTTCAGATCTTCCTGCTCCCCATGGATATGAGCTTCAGTTTCTAATCTCCCATTTTTCAACCACTCCTCAGAGCCGAGCTTCACCCAGCCCGCATTTCCTTTTCTTGAAGGGGGCCAAAGTGGTTCGGGGGCATCAGCGATCAGAAGGGGTTTCTTTCGTCTGATAGAGAAGTGACTATTAAAAGGTTTGAAAAGAGGAGCATGAAGGAGCGAAGCAAGCTGTGAGACCCATAGGTAATCTCAGCCGTATCTTCTCCGCCTCGAGATTCCTCTCCTTGGATTTCATAGGCCATTCTCTTTGTTCAAAGCTTTGAACTTTGCATCATAATTTGCCTCTTTCTCCTTCAACTTCTCCATTCTCTTTTCCAGAGCCTGCTCTGTTTTATAACAACCTTTTATGCCATGTGCTTGATTTCAGCTTCCTTTTATCTACTTCAGACACTTCGTTTTCCAACTCTTCATCCAAAAGATTTAATCTTTTGATCGATTTTTAATTTAAACTCAGACTTTAGAAGGAAAGGGTCCGAGTGATGAGTGTCTTTAATCTAAAAGACACTCGTAAAGCTAACATGATTTGTTACATGCCAAAGAAAGAAGAGATGAGACAGACAATCAAAGGTTGCAACGGGACTATCATAGAAAAACCCTCCTGTATCTCTTCCTAGACCAGGATAGCTTTGTGTTCATCAACGAGCTTTAATAATATTAGACTATTTGAGGTGTCATTAGTACAATTTATTTAGACAAAGACACATCTCTTTAATTAAAAAAAAAAAATTAAATATTCAAATTCTTAGTTCGAGAGTCGAAATTATAATATGTATATAATATTAATAAGAAAAGTCCTAATATCTTTATTCCAAACCAAACTAGCCTCTGCGCTAGAATTAAAAAAAGAAGTTATAGGGATAAAAAATGCACTTAGGAATTAATTTTGAGACTAATTTTGAGGGAATCTGAATCATTTTAAAAATTTTATTTACAAAAATTATTAAAAGTCGATTATTATAGAATTTGATACTTTTTCTTAACAAATTTTAAATTTTAAATTTTTTTTCTTTTTAAAATTTCAATTTTATCCTATTTAAGATTAATTTGAATATAAAATTCTATCCCTCAAAATTAATTAAAAAAATGTATTCAATTTTGATAGTATATCTACTTTAATCATTATAATTAAATAATAATAATTTAATATTTGTAAGTATTTAATAATTTAATATTTGTAAGTATTTTCTTTTTTTAAAGTATATTATATTAAGAAGAAAAATCTCGATTCCTTAATCCAAAAGTCAACGTAAAGCAAAACCTTTTTTTTTTTTTTTTTTTCTTTGAAATATTCTATACTAAAATTAAGCCTAAATTTCCATTCCATCTCACCAATGGCGATGAGTGACTCGAGATCTTAGGGAGGGATCAACGTCTGAAATTTCATTCGATCAGTGTTTTTCTTTAATGCAGCTGAAATTGGCTTCGAATTTGCCCACGATTTCCTCCATTGAAGATCCTAATACTCCAATTCTTTCCCCCACTATCTCATCAACTGAAGAACCAATGGCGGTTCCCGCGGTTCAGTTCCCGATCTTCATGGCCGTGAGAGTGCTCGGGATGGTTGTGGCAACTCTCGTCTTCATGTGGACCTTGCACTTCCGTGGAGGATTGGCGCTTATATCAGATAACAAGGATCTCATCTTCAATGTAATTAGCAATTTCCTCTATATTCACAAATTATTTTGCTCTTCCGTGTGTTGTTCTTTTCCCTCTTTTTTCCGATTTCTGAATTGATGCGCATGTTCGATGGGTCTTGAGTTAATTTAGTTTTCCGTGGTCTTTCTGCTTCGGATTTTGGATTTGGATGTTTGAAATTTGAGCACCATTTGGCTTGTCACCAGCAGAAATGTTTGGAATGAAATTAACGGTGCTCACTACTCGCTCACCATTGTTAGTTCTTCTCAGCTTCAGCCTGAAATGGCTGTTTAATGTACTCGTGTAGTTTTGAATTGTATGCTCTAAACCCATTGATGATGCATGCGTAGAGTAATTGGGTCTATTATTTCTGGGGTTTGGAGTATTGGTGACAAATTTAGAGATGAATTTTGAATGGCTGGTCATGTCTGGTGGGCAAAAGAAGTCATATGCATATAGAAATCTTTTACTGTCAGCCATCTGTGATCTGCATTTCTTTTCAGTTGCAAAAAGATGGGAGATAATGCAAAATAGAATTCATTCTTTACATGTGGCTCCAATCATCAAGGTCAATAGAATTTTTTGTTATTGACACAGCTTAGCTCGAGTAACATTTAGCTATCTACTTTTATTTCTTGTGCCTCTTATATGAATCTAGTAACAAGCATGGTTCAATCTTAGTATCTAAATTATTTTTTAATGCATATCTTCATAGAATTGTTTATTTTATATTGATGGTAATCCTAGTGGAGAGTGTTTGTGTGAGATCCCACGTCAGGTTGGGGAGGAGAATGAAGCATTCTTTACAAGGGTGTGGAAACCTCTCCCTAGTAGACACATTTTAAAAACCTAGTTCGAAAAGGAAAGCCCAAAGAGAACAATATCGGCTAGCGGTGGGTTTGGGCTGTTACAGTTTGTTTGCTCCCATTCTAGAACTCAACTTAAATAATGCATCCGATGGTCTTGTACGTTTATAAGTTTGGTCTTGTAGTGGATAGAACCCAAGGATATGAGCATAGTATTGAAATGGTATTGTCATGAAGACTTTTGGATCTAATGATGTCACGCGAGGGAAACATGATTATTATCTTTGCTGTTGATATATTCTATATGCTTTACATAATAGAAACTTTAATTTTTAATTCTTTTTGTCCTTTTATTTTCCTGTTTATTTGGTGAAGTTGCTCCTGTTTTGTAGGTCCATCCTGTTCTTATGGTCATTGGACTCATACTTCTAAATGGTGAAGGTAAATATCTTTTTTCTTTGGACTTAAATTGTAGTTTGAAGCACTAGTTTACACACGTTTGTGTTCTTCTTCCATTGTGGTTTTGATGCGATGGTTTGTATTTGACTATTTGAATGCATATGTAGACTGTGAAAATATGATGCTACTATATTAAAAGTGAGAAATCACGAATTCTTTTTTTATGGGAAACAAAATGCATTTGATAAGAGATATGAAATTACAAAAAATAAGGGGGGAGGAAAGGCAAATCACGTTTGATATAAATAAGTGTTTTTGTGGGCTACGGGTGGAGGGTTATGAGATCGTTCACTCAATCCCGGGGAAAGAACTCCTTGAGCCTTAGTTGGAAGCTAAACCAAAGCTAAGCTTGTAGGCTTGCAGAGAAAGTCATTTTACAGGTATATCCCTGAACAAGCCAAGAAAGTTATGAAAACCTCTTTCAGTTGGCACAAAGATAAGAAGGTTGTAAAAAAAAAAAAAGGCTCTTACTAAAGAGCAAGTATTTGCCTTTCTCTAAAGAGACATAACAGCGTTGGAGAGTTGGAACTAGTAGATTGTAATTTAAGTGGCTCTTTTGATCTAGAACATTCAATGTGCTCAATTTTTTCTTCCCTGGGTGGTGGCGTGTAGAGTTGTATGAGAGAGATTGGTACTGTTGTTACTAGTTACTACTGAATGGTTATTGCTTACTGAATGGTTTTTGTTGTTGAGAAAACTGGGATAATGGGCAAGGATCTTAACAGTATAAAACATTTGCTAGGCTTTGTCACGTAGGTCTTAGGTTTTGTACAGGAAACGTGTTATTTTACAAAACGTGCTAGAGGTCAGGTTTAGAATCATGTATGAAATATGTATCCTGAAATCATTCACAAACTTGAGTTAAAGTTAATTCTCCTACCATTCTGGTGCGTTCAATGGTTTTGTTCACCGTGCTTAGATGTATTGATGCAGCAATGTTGGCATACAAGACAGTCTCAGGAACCAAAAATTTCAGAAAACTAGTTCATCTTGCAGTACAGTTTGTTGCATTCTGTTTAAGCCTGATTGGCATATGGGCTGCCCTGAAGTTCCACAACGACAAAGGAATCGAGAACTTTTACAGTTTGCATTCATGGTTGGGTCTAGTTTCGATCTTTCTGTTCGGCTTCCAGGTTCGTAAATTGCAATTTCTGCTGGTGTGATGGTATGATTTATTTTTTGAGCCCGCTTGTTGAGCTATAACTCATTAGGATGACGCCATTTGAACAGTGGACTGCAGGATTTGTAACCTTTTGGTACCCTGGCGGCTCCAGAAACAGCAGATCGACTCTATTGCCATGGCATGTTTTCTTTGGTGTTTACATATATGGCCTTTCCATTGCTACAGCTGTTACTGGCTTGTTAGAAAAAGCTACATTTCTTCAAGTTAGCAAGGTGATTTTACGCTATTCCAACGAGGCGTTGCTGTTAAATTCGTTGGGTCTCCTCATTGTTCTTCTGGGTGGTCTTGTAATTCTCGCGGTTATCGCTCCATCGAATGGCAAAGGTGACATTTTCAGGGGGCCATCAGAATAGGATGAAGAAGCTAATGGAAATGGAACAAGGATTTTTGTTGCGTGACGGATCTTTCCTGCTGTAAACATATCAGAATTGAACTTGCGTAACACAAAAATCACATCCTAGGTTGAGAAGCAATGAGAAGCAAACAGATTCTTTAGTTGAGAATAAGATGTTATATGTTGTCTTTTCACGTGAGCTATACTCATTTTGGCAATTAAGCTTCGATTGATATCTAAAAATTTATGCACCAAAAGCATGTTGAGCAGTTTTGTTCATAAACATCGAAAGCTAAGAAAATTTGTAGTACAATGGTATTACACCTTCAATTTTCATTAAAAAAAAACGTCGTGCAACGTTATTTTATTTGATGGATGTCATACCATTCTAATACTAGCAAAATATCAATATTGATAAAAAAAAAAAAAAAATCCAAGCTTAGAAAAGTTCATATCTAGTAGTTCAGTCCATTTCAAAAAAGTTGAATATTTTAGTACTGAAAGTTTAGAAACATTCAAAATCAGACAACACTCACAGAAAGCTATAGTTCACTATTTATAAGAAATCAGATAAAAAGTTGGGATAGCAAACAGATCATAGAACTATGAAGCTAAAAGTTCAACTGATAAGAAGAAAACATGTCATGACCAACAAACAAACAGATGTGCCAATAAAAAGAGGGGTAAACTAAGGCAATGATATGGCTGTCTGATGGACTGTCTTCTGGATGTAGCGGCCATTTGATTACATGAAACTTGGGCAAACAGGTCCTTTGGAAAGACCAAGGCGTACTTCAATTCCATGGTGCATGTCCAATGGCCTCAAAGATTCAGACTCCCTTGGGTCTGCAAATAACATTGACATAGGAAGTTGTAAATAAACACCAGCAGAGACTATTATCTAAAGTGGGTATATATATAGAATAATGAAAACACGGCGAGATAGGACTAGAAAACACAGCTTCATTATGTTAAGTTAAAAAAAAAAAAAAAAAAAAAAAGGGGGAAAAAAAAAA